TAAAATGTGCTTTTAAAAGTTCATTAAAAAATGGCGCTGTTCTTAAAAAGTAAAAAGAAAACTGCTGTACTTAAATCTAAAGTATTCATTGTAGCCTATTCATCAAAAGCTGGAGATGTTGCTTGGACCTTATAAATATAGGCTATATGTCATATTCATACACTTTCAGACAAATCTTGAAATATATGTTAAATGTACATATGACAGGGTTCATACAGGCACAGCCTAATGAAAATCAATTCCAGCACCTATTTTTTTTTTTCTCAAGACTGACATGCTATGTATTGAAGACCTGAAAAGTATTCTCAGCAACCCATAAAACATTGCATAAGAATAGATACAAATAAAAAACATTAAAAATAATATTTATTAATCATATATTCATAATATAATAAACCTGCACTAAATGCTTGTGAAATCTTTTTTGTACTCAAGTAAAAATACTATTACACTGCTAAAATAACACAAATTTTAGTAAATAATACTAATATTAGGTAAAAGTACAAATTACTCTTTTAAAAAGTACTAGTTGGTTACTTTTGAAAAAAAAAAATCAGATTTTCATTATGAAATCACTTTTTTACATGGAAACCTGATTGAATGGTTTAATTGCTTAAATCCAAAGCTACATGTATAGGTAATTGCACTAACAAAGAAAGTATAGTCAATTTTTCCTTTCATGACAATTAATCTTTTTCAATAGCACTGGTAAAACTACCACATATACTTTAAGGCCATAGAGACACTTTTTGCCCATTTTTTAAACGATATTTACAAGCTTTGAAAGGTTTAATTGAAGTATATGGTAAAAATATTTAAATTAGCCTTTTATTTACATATTTTATGCTATTTTTCTTTACAATATGGCAAATTTGTTTCTTAAAAAGCTGTACATCACATGTATATTTTATTTTACATTTAACCTAATCTAAAATAGAAACTTTAAAAACATACAAGTACACTGTCAGTAAAAAAAAAAAAAAAAATTAATAAAACAAATGGCTTCATTTTACTTGAGGTATTTGAAATATGACAAGACTACATTTATCAAAGCAGTGCTTAAAGAGCCTTATTGTTAATTTTGATAAATAAACAATAAGTAACAACGGATTGCTTTGAGCTGTAATGCTTTAAGACAGATCAGAATACAGCTAAATGTATAAATCACACAAATACCTCATCCAGAAACATTTCCAGCATAATTCTTTTGTCGTAAAGAAAAAAAAAGAAAAAAATACACCTTTGCTAAAAGTAAGTTTCACTTCACAACACAGCCAAATAAGAAGACCATTAGCATTGTCATCGGTCATGTATCAATCTATTTCTAAATACTTGATAACTCTGAATACTTTTGACTAAATTTAGTCAAGGAGCAAAGATAAATAATGTTTACTTTAATAGTGGAAAGATCGCGATTGTATTCAATCTGAGCACACGGGCAATCCTGAGAGGACTTGCAGTTCATTTGAAAAAAAAAAAGCCCATTTAAGAGCTCACATATCTGTTTTAGCGATTTGCGTACATGAATGCGCTCTCGTGTTAAAATAGAGCACTCGCCGCATTTGCAGAAATGAGTTATTGCGCAATACCTCCATTCCCGCGCCGCCATTCAGAATGTATTTAGAGGAGTGACAGGTCAGAGGTGAGAGACTGGCTGTCGGAGAGCGAAATGTGTTTGTAGATCATCAAAAAGGCAGGAAATATGCCCGCGGTTTAATTACTCAGCTAGACATCTCTATAGTGAAAACATCCGAGAAGCATTATTCCAACAAAACATTTGTTTTTAAGTTGTTTTTTTCTGTCTCTGCAACAAAGAAAGCATTTGTCCTGCCTTTACTTTTCACGCAACTAGAAAAGGTCGATTGTGATTGGCTACTTTTCATGTCAGTCAAATCACGCCTCAGAATCAATTCTTAAACTTCAGAAAATGATTTATAGCAGCTTATGACACAATGCAATAAAATAAACATTCTAAGCACAGCGTTGTGATCGTACGCTTCACAAAACAGCCAATGCTGATCACATCGATGTTATATTACGCATTAAAGGATTAAAAGTGTTAATTGTTTCTTTCATTATTCAGTGGTTTCTCCATGTACCACTAGGAGGAAGCCTGCGTACCACTAGTGGTACGCGTACCACAGTTTGAGAACCACTGACTTAGCGCGACCCAGCCAATAGAAACTACAGTAATAGTCAACCCGGATCTCATAGGCTCAACAAGTTAGTGTTACACCAGCCAATAGCCATAAAGCGATATTCCACCTTGCTACAGTATACATCCTATGTATAATCATTCAGAAGTACATACACTGAAGACTAAGTTTTTACTAATGACTGTATAAAATATGGAAAACGCGACAGCCCCTTTTCCCATTGAACACTTTGAAGGCAAAACTGGTTTGGAGCCTGGGCATGCACACAAGGACTGCCTGGTGGAGCCAAAGGCAGAGGTGCGGAATCAAGCTTCCAACCAAATGCTTGTACATCAAATTAACCACACCGTCTGAACCTCTCACGTGACCGCCGGTATCTGCACTACAACAAAGGCTCACTAATATAAATATAAGCACTTACGTTTAAAAACATGAAATAATTTATGACTTAAAAACTGTGTGATGTAAGCTGTTATAATTTAATAACAGCAATGCATGTTGGACTGCAGAAATAAAACATCTTTCATACACTCTAGCCCGAGTTAGACTAATATGAGCATAAACAATATATTCTCTTATAACAGGGTAGTTGGTATTAGTTATCTTCAGAGGGGAAGAAATAGCACTTATGAATAAAATATGAAAATATAAAATATGAACAAAAACATATAAACAACACATACATTTTTAGAAAGGTTTTTATTTTAAATTAGCAATCAACAGGACCCAAAATATACAATAGAGGTAAAGTTGGTTATGTATTGGCACTTTCAGACTTTCTCCTTAATAATAAAATTTCAGAAAAGTACACACCGGAGGCAGCGTTTATTGTTACAGGGGACTTTATCAACGCCAATCTCAGGAAAATTGCTCTAAAATACTATCAACACTTCACCACAAACCACCGTGGGGATCGCATGCTGGACCATTGCTACTCTCCGTTCTGGGACGCATACAAATCCCTCCCCCGCCCACCGTTTGGCAAATCAAATCACTCTTCTGTTCTGCTCCTGCCTGTTTACAGACAGAAACTGGAACCACCCACTCTCAGGACGTTTCAGAGCTGGACGGACCAATCGGATTCCATACTTCAAGACCACATTTTGATCACGTGGGCAGGGATATGTTCCGGGCAGCATGTTATGACAAGATTGACGTATACGCAGACAGAGTCACATGCTTCATCAGGAAATGCATTGAAGACGTGGTCCCAACAAAAACTGTCCGTTTCTACCCCGACCAAAAACCATGGATCAATGACGAAGTTCCAACAGCCCTATCATTGTGAGCTTCCGCCTATAAATCCAGAAATGCTGGGGAACAAAAACAAGCAAAAACAACCTCAAGAAAACCATCAAAGCAGCAAAACGTCAATACAGAGACAAGGTAGAGGGACAATTTAATACCAATAATGCAAGGAGCATGTGGCAGGGACTTAATTACATCACGGACTTTAAAAGTAACAAACTGTAAAACGTAAACATTGCTGCAACTCTCCCGGATGAGCTTAACTCGTTCTACGTTCGCTGGTGCCAAGCTGGTGTTGAAGCTCCAGGCTCTTGGTCTTCACAGTTCTCTGTGCAACTGGATCCTGGACTTCCTGTCAATCAGATGCCAGGTGGTCAGAATGAACAACATCACCTCTTCCACACTGATCCTCAACACTGGTGCTCCACAGGGCTGTGTTCTCAGCCCACTCCTCTACTCCCTGTACACACATGACTGTACAGCCAAACACAGCTCCAACACCATCGTTAAATTTGCTGATGACACAACGGTGGTAAGCCTCATCACCAATAATGATGAGACGGCATACAGAGAGGAGGTGCACACTCTGATGCAGTGGTGTGTGGAAAACCACCTCTCACTCAACATCAGCAAAACAAAGGATCTGGTGGTGGATTTCAGGAGAGAGAAGAGGGAGCAGACCCCCATCACCATCAACGGGACACCAGTGGAGAGTCAGCACTTTCAAGTTTCTTGGAGTCCCCATCGCTGAGGACTTTACATGGACTGCTCACACAGATACAGTGCTGAGGAAGGCACAACAACGCCTCTTCTTCCTCAGGCGTCTCAGGAGGTTTGGAATTAACCCCCACATCCTCCACTCGTTCATAACCTGCACTGTGGAGAGCATCCTGTCTATCACCACCTGGTATGGAAATAGCACCAGCAGCAATTGCAAAGGCCTAAATAGGATTGTGCGAACTGCTGGACGCGTAGTAGGAGGTGAGCTTCCCTCCCTCCAGGACATCTACACCAGGCGGTGCATGAGGAAAGCCAAGAGAATCATCAGTGACTCCAGCCACCCAAGCCATAGACTTTTCTCTCTGCTACCCTCAGGCAGACGGTTCCACAGCATCCAGTCATGCACCAGCCGACTGAAGGAAAGCTTCTTCCCTCAGACTATCAGGCTGATGAACACTTTACAAACCTCACACAGACTCTTCCATACCCCTAACTGCACACTATCAATATGTAGCATGCTCTACACTTTAACCAATCCATACTTAAAACTATACTGCCTACAACAACTACGTGGACACTTATTCATTGTACATATCGCTGTCAATTTTACATTGTCCTGTGTTTTTTTTTTTTTTTTTTTTGAGTATGCTGTCGTATTTTGCACTGTCTGTATTTTGCATTGTTGTTGTATTTTGCACCATCTGTATTTTGTTCTGTCTGGAGCCAGCACCTAAGCTTTTCACTCATCAAAGCACATGTGCTGCTGATGATGTGACAATAAAAGTGATTTGATTTGATTTTATTAGCACGGAGGAGCCGGCTTTATGTCTCGTGATCTGCAGGCGATCTAATGGCCGAGACCTTCACTCAAAAGCAGATGTGTGGCACACTTGGTTTTTACATTTGGCACTCTGTGGGATTTAAATTACTAGTGAATTTCACTTTTTCATCTTTGCATCTTTTTGTTTTTAGGGTTGATGCATTGAAAATGAGAGAAATGACCGCCGGATTGAACGTGGTCCTGCTGGGAAAAACAGGAGCCGGAAAAAGCTCATCAGGAAACACAATCCTGGGTCGACAAGCTTTCATCACACAGAAAAGTGTCGCACAAGACGTCACTGTGGAGTCTGGATCATTCGGTGAACTACCAGTCTCTGTTTACGACACTCCAGGATTATCAGATATAGAGATGAGTGAAGAAGAGATTCGGCAGATGATCAATGAGAAGATCCTCCAAATATGTTCATCAGGTCTGTGTGTGTTTCTGCTGGTCATCAAAGCAGACAGATTCACTGAAGAAGACAGAAAAACTGTGGAGAAGATTGAGAAGATCCTGGGAGAAAACAACCAGAACAACACCTGGATTCTGTTCACCAGAGGAGACAAACTGGAGGGAGAAAACATGACGATAGAGAAGTTCATAGAGGAGACTGAAGAACTGAAGACACTCGTGCAGAAATATGAGGACAGATACCATCTGTTCAACAACAACAAGATGAAGAAGGAGGAAGAGGAGGAGGGGGGACCAAGTGAACAAGTAAAGATACTGTTCAATAAAATACTGAAGCCTTACCTCGACACAATGGGTGAGTGTTTTATGATAATATTACATATTCTTTACACTTTTAATGAAAATGACCTGCAGTGACTGAAGTTTATAAATGGTGTTCAGTTTCTGCTTTATATTTTTATTCAGCAGGAGAAAAGATATGGCAGCAGAATACACTGAAGAGAAAAATACCAGCAAATATTGGAGCAGTCTCTCGTGTCTCCGGTCTCCCCTCCAGACGGATTGTTCTTCTCGGTAAATCTGGTGTTGGTAAAAGTGCAGTTGGAAACACAATCCTGGGACAGAAAGAGTTTACATCTGTGATGAGCACAAATTCAGTAACCCGCGTTTGTTCAGCAGCTCAGTCCACAGTTTCAGGCAGATCTGTGTCTGTAGTCGACACTCCTGGATTCTTTGACACAAAGATGAAACCTGAAGAGTTAATGATGGAGATCGCCAGAAGTGTGTATATCTCCAGTCCTGGACCTCACGCTTTCCTCATTGTGTTTCATGTGAACACGAGATTCACTGAACAGGAGGAACAGATTCCTCAGATGATTGAGCTGATGTTTGGTGAAGAAGTGTTGAAATACTCCATCATTCTCTTCACTCATGGAGATCTGCTGGATGGCGAGTCAGTAGAGAAGCTGATAGAGGAGAACTTTGCCTTAAGATCTCTAGTCCAGCAGTGTGGAGGCAGATATCATGTGTTCAACAATAAAGTGAATAACAGAGAGCAGGTGGAGGATCTACAGCAGAAGATTGACTCAATGATACAGCAGAATGGAGGAGGACACTACACTAACCAGATGTATGAAGATGCTCAGATATTCAGACAAGAGGAAGAAGAGGAGAGAAAACTACAAGAGGAGAAACAAATACAAGAGGAGATTGAGAGAGAGATAAAGGAGACTGAGGAGAGAATCAAAGCAGAAATGGAAGCTGAAAATCTTAAAGCAGAGAGACTGAGTGAGGAAGAACAGAGAAGACGAGAGAAACAAAGACAAGAGGAGATAGAGAGAGTGAAGAAGAATACTGAGGAGAGGGTTAGAAAAGAAATTAAAGCTAAAAAGGAGACAGAAGAGAGAATCAGAGCAGAGAATAAGGCTAAATTAAATGAGGAGAGTGGCTTTTTAAACTTTTTTTCCAAATACAAACATCATTTTGCCACGGCAGGACATGTTGTTGGAGGAATTGCTATCGGAGCTGCAGTTTTATCTGGAGTTGGAGTTGGAGCTGCTGCTGGAGCTGGTTTAGCAGCTTTTTGTGCTGGAGTAGGAAGTGTTTCAGTTGCTGGAGCTGCTGTTGGAGGTGTTGTTGGAGGTGTTGTTGGAGGTGTTGCTGCTAGCAAATATGAGGAAGAAATAAAGTGGAAGAAGAGAAGAAGAGAAGAAGAAGAGAGAGAACAACAAGTTGACAAAAAAATACAAGAAGAGATTGAGAGAGCAATAAAGGAGATTGATGAGAGATTCAGAGAAGAAATGGTAGCTAAAAATCTTAAAGCAGAGAAACAGAGTGAGGAAGAACAGAGAAGACAAGAGAAACAAAGACTAGAGGAGATTAAGAGAGTAAGAGAAAAGACAGAGGAGAGAATCAGAGCAGAAATTGAAGCTAAAAAGCAGAGAGACGGAGTAAGGAAGAACAGAGAAGACGAGAGAAACAAAAACAAGAGGAGTTAGAGTGATAAAAGAGACAGAGGAGAGAGTCAGAGCAGAAAATGAGGCTAAATTAAACGAGAAGAGTGGATTTTTTTATTTTTTTAAGAGAGGAAGAAGAGAGGAAGAAGAGAGAAAACAACAAGTTGACAAACAAATACAAGAGGAGATTGAGAGAGTGATAAAGGAGACAAAGGAGAGATTTAGAGAAGAAATGGAAACTGAAAATCTTAAAGCAGAGAGACAGAGTGAGGAAGAACAGAAAAGATGAGAAAAACAAAGACAAGAGGAGATAGAGAGAGTGAGAATGGAAACTGAGGAGAGGGTCAGAACAGAGAAAATAGCTCCATTAGCATCTCTATCATCAAAACAACAAAATTACAGAACAAAATAGGAAATACAAAACAATTGAAACAGTTTTATGATTTTTTTTTAAGGGGGGGTTGTGATGGTGTTGTTGCTTGTAGAGCTGTTGGTGGTGTAATTGGTAGAGTTGTTGCTTTAGCTGATGTTGGTGGAGTTGTTGCTTTAGCTGATGTTGGTGGAGTTGTTGCTTTAGCTGATGTTGGTGGAGTTGTTGCTTTAGCTGATGTTGGTGGAGTTGTTGCTTTAGCTGATGTTGGTGGAGTTGTTGCTTTAGCTGATGTTGGTGGAGTTGCTGCTTTAGCTGATGTTGGTGGAGTTGTTGCTTTAGCTGATGTTGGTGGAGTTGTTGCTTTAGCTGATGTTGGTGGAGTTGCTGCTTTAGCTGATGTTGGTGGAGTTGCTGCTTTAGCTGATGTTGGTGGAGTTGCTGCTTTAGCTGATGTTGGTGGAGTTGTTGCTTTAGCTGATGTTGGTGGAGTTGTTGCTTTAGCTGATGTTGGTGGAGTTGTTGCTTTAGCTGATGTTGGTGGAGTTGTTGCTTTAGCTGATGTTGGTGGAGTTGTTGCTTTAGCTGATGTTGGTGGAGTTGTTGCTTTAGCTGATGTTGGTGGAGTTGTTGCTTTAGCTGATGTTGGTGGAGTTGCTGCTTTAGCTGATGTTGGTGGAGTTGTTGCTTTAGCTGATGTTGGTGGAGTTGTTGCTTTAGCTGATGTTGGTGGAGTTGTTGCTTTAGCTGATGTTGGTGGAGTTGTTGCTTTAGCTGATGTTGGTGGAGTTGTTGCTTTAGCTGATGTTGGTGGAGTTGTTGCTTTAGCTGATGTTGGTGGAGTTGTTGCTTTAGCTGATGTTGGTGGAGTTGTTGCTTTAGCTGATGTTGGTGGAGTTGCTGCTTTAGCTGATGTTGGTGGAGTTGTTGCTTTAGCTGATGTTGGTGGAGTTGCTGCTTTAGCTGATGTTGGTGGAGTTGCTGCTTTAGCTGATGTTGGTGGAGTTGTTGCTTTAGCTGATGTTGGTGGAGTTGCTGCTTTAGCTGATGTTGGTGGAGTTGCTGCTTTAGCTGATGTTGGTGGAGTTGTTGCTTTAGCTGATGTTGGTGGAGTTGTTGCTTTAGCTGATGTTGGTGGAGTTGCTGCTTTAGCTGATGTTGGTGGAGTTGCTGCTTTAGCTGATGTTGGTGGAGTTGTTGCTTTAGCTGATGTTGGTGGAGTTGCTGCTTTAGCTGATGTTGGTGGAGTTGTTGCTTTAGCTGATGTTGGTGGAGTTGTTGCTTTAGCTGATGTTGGTGGAGTTGTTGCTTTAGCTGATGTTGGTGGAGTTGTTGCTTTAGCTGATGTTGGTGGAGTTGTTGCTTTAGCTGATGTTGGTGGAGTTGTTGCTTTAGCTGATGTTGGTGGAGTTGTTGCTTTAGCTGATGTTGGTGGAGTTGTTGCTTTAGCTGATGTTGGTGGAGTTGTTGCTTTAGCTGATGTTGGTGGAGTTGTTGCTTTAGCTGATGTTGGTGGAGTTGCTGCTTTAGCTGATGTTGGTGGAGTTGCTGCTTTAGCTGATGTTGGTGGAGTTGCTGCTTTAGCTGATGTTGGTGGAGTTGTTGCTTTAGCTGATGTTGGTGGAGTTGCTGCTTTAGCTGATGTTGGTGGAGTTGCTGCTTTAGCTGATGTTGGTGGAGTTGCTGCTTTAGCTGATGTTGGTGGAGTTGTTGCTTTAGCTGATGTTGGTGGAGTTGTTGCTTTAGCTGATGTTGGTGGAGTTGTTGCTTTAGCTGATGTTGGTGGAGTTTTTGCTTTAGCTGATGTTGGTGGAGTTGTTGCTTTAGCTGATGTTGGTGGAGTTGCTGCTTTAGCTGATGTTGGTGGAGTTGTTGCTTTAGCTGATGTTGGTGGAGTTGCTGCTTTAGCTGATGTTGGTGGAGTTGTTGCTTTAGCTGATGTTGGTGGAGTTGCTGCTTTAGCAGTTTGTGGATTTTTAGCAGGCTAATCAGAGATCTGTTTAATTAAGTTTTTGATTAATTCTTTAATAATTCAAAAGATGTGGCCATTAAGGATGTGTGTCTCAAGAAAAGTGATCTTGAGAACTTTATATCTGAACTGGTGCGGACCGTGCTGAAGTTCTCCTGCACATGATGAACAGTATGAATTATGAATTCTTATGAATTATTTCATTATTAATAGTTGATACATGCATGGGTGTTTGAAGAAATGTTTTCTTGATTAAAGATTTTTGGCTGTGGGTGCACAAATTTGCTTTGGTTTAAACGACACATTGATTTAAGATAAAATACTGTAACAGTAATTGAAGAGGTTTTGCCTCAATGTTTCCATGCATTTCCATAAAGCATGTTTATTTTCTATTGTGCATTGAATGAAAGTCTATATTTACAAAATGATGATATGGTTTGTGTTCATCAAAAAAAGAAGTTATCTTTTTGTTTCATAATAACACTTAAGTTGTATTTTTCTACAGTGTCATATAGACATTATTATCAGATTGGTTTATCCTGCTCTGGAAAAGCATTTGCTGACATTTAAACTTTGTAAATGTTTCTTGCTCTTTGATTGATGTGTATTTTTCTTGTTCAGTGTCTCTTGTTAACTGGTCTCAATGAGCACAGCTTTATATAAACTCTGTTATTGACTTTAATTATGCATATTCAGAAAAATTACATTTGATTTGATTTCAGTTTCTGATTATTCTAGTTAAAGCTGTGTTTCAGCAGATCTCTCATCTTTTTTCTCGTTTAAAGACTAAAAATATTTTAGTTTACTCCACTGAACACACAATGCTCACCTCAAAGCTTCATTTTTTAAAAGTGATTTGAGTTATTTGAGTGTATCTACTCTGATTCTTAACCACCACAGAGCTTTGAACAGCCTATAATTATTTATTTGTTGCATATCGTTTCTGCAAGATCCTCAAATCATAAAATATTTGCAGCTGAATCTCACCACGTGCTGTAATATTTGGTGAAATATATTTTTGAGTTGGTCTACTAAACACTCAACACACAAAAGATCAATATTCGTGATATTAGGTCAAAATAAATTGAAACAGACATATTTTTTGCATAACTTCATCATTTTGCATACTCTTATATTCAGTGATGAACATAAAAATATCAGTGAGCTGGTATAGGCACAACAGTTCACTCCCAGGTAACTCAACACTGCGTCTCTTTTAGGAGACTCTATGGGATACAATCCCTCTCTTATAACCTCCTTAAGTGTAACGATTGTTGACCTCTGCATTGTGATGTTTGCAATCGTCACCAACTTAAATCAATGAAACCCTCCAAAAGTGGTTCTCAATAGCCCCTTTCACACATACAGACCTTTCCGGAAAGGTTGTATGTGTGAACAGGTCCTTTTTGAAAATACTGGTAAATTCGTTCTGGCTATTTTCCGGAAAGAGAAGTTGTAACATTATCAGCAATTTGCCGGAATGCTGCGCTGTGTGAACGCAGAAGGAAGATTGCCGTAATAAGCGCGTGCACGTCTAGAACGTGCTGACGTGAGACGTCTGCTTTAGCCAATCACAACAGTCAGACGCATTTACGTCCGCGCGGTTTATGAGAATAAAAGCCTTTGAATATTTTTCCAGACACATTTAGCTGCTAGAAGTTAGTCAGATCACGTTTATATGTTCTTCTTAATGCCAACTGTGTAAATAATCATCGATGAGATGCTTATGATAAGCCGTTGTTTGTTTACCTTCAAGCTTTGCGTGTGCCTGTGAAACAGCCTGTGAGCGCATGCACACGCACATATTATGAACATCTCGACATGAGAAAGTGATCCTGTGAAAGTTGTTTACAATATTGATCATCCACAGAGTTTGTGATGTAGTCAAATGTTTACAAATACAAGCGCAGCCGTTTAAAGCTCATTTGTGGTGAATGATGTCAGAATTTACCGGTATTTTGGAATGGATGTGTGAATGCTCTTTTCCGGAAAATTTCCGTAACGTCCTCGCCTGTGTGAACAGCGCTTTTTTGAATATACCGTTAAAATCGTTCCGGAAATATTCCAGATATTTACCGGTATCACTGTGTGAAAGGGGCTCTTTATTTGGAGAAACAAATTGCATATCACATGAAACACGGGGCAATATACTGTGTGCCACTGCGCACATCCTGATTTTACCAGGTGCTAGTTGTCCTGTGACCAACATAATTTATGATAACCCAGGGACAGCAACTCTATCAGCCAATCAAACGTGATTATGTCATAATTATGTGTGGCCTGCAGAGTCCGCCAAAAACGCAAATTCAAAAAGGTGTTGGTTTACCTTTCTGGCGTTTGTCTTTAAATGAAATTGACATAATACATGCTAAAAACCGAGTTATTAGACAAAAATACGGTCGCTAAATTAGCAAGAGGCCAAGTTTAGTCGCGTTAAATAGCTAGATTAAAATATTCAAAACAATATTGTTAGCTTGTTTTTATTAAAGCCAGAAAGTAAATCACAGTAATTGTAGAGCAGCACGTCAATCTAGCGTTAGGTAGGCATGGCTAATTAGGCTAACTTCATTCATTCTTTCATTTTCTTGTCAGCTTTGTCTCTTTATTAGTCCGGGGTCGCCACAGCGGAATGAACCACCAACTTATCCAGCAAGTTTTTACACAGCGGATGCCCTTTCAGCCGCAACCCATCTCTGAGAAACATCCACACACACATTCACACTCACACTCATACACTACGGACAATTTAGCCTACCCAATTCACCTGTACCGCATGTCTTTGGACTGTGGGGGAAAACGGAGCACCCAGAGGAAACCCACGAGAAGGCAGGGAGAATGTGCAAACTCCACACAGAAGCGCCAACTTAGCCGAGGTTCGAACCATCGACCTTCTTGCTGTGAGGTGACAGCACTTCCTACTGCGCCACTGCCTCGCCTAATTAGGCTAACTTATATGCACTAAAGTTAAATGTTGCTCTTTCGCTTTGCTGGAAAAAAAAAGGACAAATCCATAAACACTCATAATTTTTACAATCATTACTGCTTCTGTAAACTTATAGAAGAAAACTGGAGATCTTACCTCTACTTGTCCTCTTCACAGGTGAAAATGGCAGTTTCGTGCGTGTGGGTGTTTTCTTCTTTTTTGAATTTGTGTTTTTGGGAGACTCTGCAGGTCGCACATAATGATGACGTGATAACGTTTGATTGGCTGATAGAGTTGTTGTCCCTGGGTCATCATAAATTCTGTTGGTCTCAGGACAACTAGCACTTGGCAAAATCAGGATGTGCGAAGTAACAATCTGCTGAGCAATATATTGGGAAGTGAATTGTTGAACAGAATGCTTGCAGGAGCCCCCTCTCACCATACCCAACAGACAAAGCACTTTGTCAAATATGGCACTCTGATTGATGACACCTAAATAAAATCAAGAACATATTTAAGCAAGACACAGCTGTAATTCAAAGTTTTAAAACTAATGGAGTACTGTAAAAAGTGCTTGGCATATTCTGTACCCTTTATCATGTGTGTACACACACACACACACGGGCGCCTGCAGGATTTTATTCGAAGGTCGGCACAAATCCAGCACTGCCCCCTTCCCCCATTCATATCAAGAAACACTGATGCTTACTTTTAAAGGCTACATAGGGATATTCGTTATGACATTCATCTATTTGTTTCTTTTTTTAAATATATTTTCCTTGAAATCTAAAATGTAATAAAAGCACATTTTTTTAATTATGACATAATAAAAAAGGCACAAATGACAGAAGATTGTGGTACAATACAATTAGTGAAGCATTGATTAAATCCTTACTTTACACTCACCGAAAACCATCCACCCGCACAGTTGAGTAGTGGATAGCCTCAAATAAAAGTAAATCTTTCTTAGAAAAAAAATATTTTTAAAACTAATTTTGTATATAGTTTGTCTCTTTGTTTAAATATTTTTGTTGGTCAGTTATCTTCTACATACAATAGAAGAACGAATAACATTTAAGGTGAAGTGCCTCAAGACAAATCTGCTATGCTTCAACAATACCGAATCATGAACTGAATTGTCAAATAAAATAATAATCTAGCCTAAATAAAATTAAAGTGAAATATTTTGTTTCAGAGAAGCCTATATTAAACTGTTTTCCATGTTGCGCCGGTCAAATAAAATTGAATTCATTTAATCAAGTGATTTAAATGAGGAGGACAGGCGTTTACAAAGTATTCGCAACAGCCCTGAACATGTTCCCACATTACCTCGGTGGAACAAACTCGGTTGGAAGGGTGAGAAAACTAAAACTTGTGGAATGGAGGAGTCTGCTTATTTATACCAGTCTGTCAGATAAAATGGTTTAAAACAACCTTCAATGGCAGCGTGAAAGTTCCATGCGAGGAGGCTGCGCAGCTGGATCTGATCTGTATGATGAAAGATACAGTTCCCCTTCGGTTGGGGAACTTCAGTGCCATAGAGTGGATTGATTGAAATCCACGAAATGGGAGGATTCGGTTCAGAAGCCGCTTGTCTGAAAGAGTATTGAACGGGCCAATGAATGCAATGAATTGGCAGCGTAAGCTTGCACAGGTGTGCTTCATTGCCTATTATCCCAGCATATAAGCACACCTGGAGCGAGCAGACGCCATCCTTTTCGCTTCAGAGACTTTCTGATCGAGTCAATGAGGGTTCCTCCTGCTGTGACCAGCGATTCTGAGCGAACGAGAGCATTCTCCCGGTCCAGAGTGTGTACACGCAGCGGCAGACGGTCGAGCTGGGTTTCTCCCTTGCCTGGCGTTCTTTGGGTCCGGTCCTCCAGAGCGGTGCGTATAAAGTTGCACTTCACAAAGAGAGCAACACAGTCGTGCAGCACGTCCTTTTCAGGACGGCGCTCCGACTGTGCGTTTCTGGATGCGGTGGTTTCCTGTCCTCGGATGATGGGCACGAGCACTGCGTTGCATGTCTGGGGGGTCCAGCAGGTTAATGCGCTGCTCGCGGGCAGTTCATGTCGTCATTGCGATGCCATGACTATTGCGCAGTAAAGATCGCGGCTAGCCTTTGCAAAAGGGCGAACCACCCCAGTTGTCCCCTGCTCTGCAGCGGGCACTCGGGCAGATCTGAGGGTTTCAGCGAGAGATAATCCGTCGCCCACGGGCCCGCGGACCTCCCGCTCCTCTAAGCGCTCCATCCAAGCTTCGGGCGGGGGAAGCGATCCGTCTAACAGATGGTAGCCCTTACGCCCGATGACACCGGAGACCAGACGTCTACCGCGGCATCGGAGGGTGGGCTTTCATTGTCCGATGATGATCCAGACCCGCTCGCCCCCTTCGGGCTGGTGAGCGCTGTCACTACGGATCCTGAAACGGACATGTTAGCCGTGCTTTCCCGGGCTGCTTCGGCCGTGGGTTGGAGATGGTTTATCCCCCAGCTCCGCGGCCGGACCGACTAGAGGGGCGTTCCCTTCTTCCCAGAGGTGCACAGTAGGCTCACGCGGTCCTGTAAAGCACTTTTTTCTGCTCGTGCTGCGTGTCCCTCCGCCCTCACCACTCTTGACGGTGGAACAGCCAGGGGGTATGTGGCGATTCCTCAGGTTGAGTGCGCAATGGCGGTAAATCCGCGCGGCGCCTCGTCTTGGCGGGGTCCGCCTCGTCTCCCATCCAAAGCCTGTAAGTTATCTACCTCCCTCTGAGCTAGAGCTTACATAGCTGCGGGCCAGGCTGCTTCCGCCTTGCATGCGATAGCCACCTACCAGCGCTACCTAGCGCAGGCACTGGCCGAGCTGCACGAGGGTGGGTCCAACCCAGGCTTATGAGCTTCGCACCGCCGCCGACTTAGCTCTTCGGACTACTGAGTCCGCTGCGTGTGCGTTGGGGAGGACGATGTCCACATTAGTGATCCAGGAGCGCCACCCCTGGCTGATATGCGCGAAGTCGACAAAGTCCGCTTTCTTGACTTTCCCCATATCCCAAGCCATGTTCGGTGACACCGTCTGTGAATTCACCCAGGAATTCAAGGCGATGAGAGAGCAGTTGATGAGTGATGTCTTATCGGCGGTCCGTAGCCCACTCCGCCCGCCGTGCCATTCATACCTGCTTCTCGCCGAAGGCGCCCGCCTACGAGAGCTGCTCCGCCCCCGCACACGCCTCTGGCGAAGCGAGCGCGTCGGGCACCTCGGAAGCAGGCAGCCCCCCTGCCCAGAACGCCACTAAGTCTGGCAACGGACCGCGAAGCGTCCCTGGGACAGGCCATCTGGAGAAGAGGGAACTTGCTCTTTCCCCCGCTGGAGGGCGGGGCCCCATTTCACAACGGCACTTTTTACTGCCATGATAACATTATGAAAGGGCACTTTTCACTTCCCCAGATGTGACAGCCCGAAATCTGCCAGTCTGGGACGCTATGCTTTCTAGCTTGCAGATTCGGTGCGTTTCGCCAGTGGCTCACGAGCGCTGGGAGGACGGTCTCCTTTCTCCCACCCCTCGAGCCTCCCCTCCGGAGCTCGGGTTCGGAGTGAGAGCAAATATCTCACCTCCAGCTTTTCCGTGGGACCCGCGAGCTTCCCAGATCAGCACACCCACTCCGCGCTGCCCCATTGCTGGTACATCAGCGATTGTAGCGATGAGTCCATTAGCGGGAGCTCTGCCTGCCTGGTTAGCACGGGCCAGCTCTTCGCGGTGGCTCATACGCACAATCAGACTCGGCTATGCGATTCAGTTCGCGAAACGGCCCCCCAAGTCGCGGGTGTGTATTCACCAGGGTCAGCCCCCTGTCCGCCCTTGTCTTGCGAGAGGAGATTGCTGTCCTCCTGGCGAAGGATGCAATCGAGCCGCTCCCTCCAGCCGAGATGGAGAGCGGGTTTTACAGCCCACACTTCATCGTGCCCAAAAAGAGCGGTGGGTCACGGCCAATCCTAGATCTGCGCGTTTTGAACCGCTGCCTGCACAAGCTGCCGTTCAGAATGCTCACACAGAAGCGCATCCTCCGGTGCGTTCGTCCTCTGGGTTGGTCTGCAGCATTAGACCTGATGGACGCGTATTTCCATGTCTCCACTCTTCCTCACCACCGTCAGTTTCTGCGGTTTGCGTTTGAAGGTCGAGCTTGGCAATACAAAGCCCTCCCCTTCGGGCTCTCTCTGTCTCCGCGGGTCCTCACCAAGCCCGCGGAGGGTGCCTCAACGCCCCTTCGGCTCCCGGGCATCTGCATACTCGATTTCTTTACGACTGGCTGATTTTTGCCCTCTCTCGGAGCAATTGATTATGCACAGAGACAAAGTGCTTTGGCACTTCCACCTGTGGGGGTTTCAGGTCAACCGTGAAAGAGCAAACTCGCCCCCGTGCAGAGGATCTCTTCTCTCGGGCTGGAGATGGACTCAGTCACCATGGCAGCGCGCCTCTCCGGAGAGCGCGCTCAGCTGATGCTGTACTGTCTGAGAGAGCTCGACAGTAAAATAGTGGTCCCACTGAAACTATTTCAGAGGCTCCTGGGGCATATGGCATCCGCAGCCGCTTCATGCCGCTCGGATTATTCTATATGAGACCACTTCAGCACTGGCTTCACGATCGAGTCCCCAGACGCGCATGGCACGCGCGCACACCGAGTCTCTGTTACTGCGCTGTGTCGCCGCGCCCTCAGCCCTTGGAGCGACCCCTCGTTCCTACAGGCCTGGGTGTCTCTAGAACAGGCGTCCAGTCTTGTTGTCGTTTCAGCAGACGCTTCCAACACGGGCTGGGGGGCTGTGCGATGCTGGCATGCGGCTGCGGACCTGTGGAAAGGTACCCAGTTGCATTGGCATATCGCCTGGAGCTGTTGGCAGTGTTCCTCGCTCTCCACCGTTTTTTTCCGGTGCTGGAGCGGCAACACGTGCTGGTCAGGACGGACAGTACGGCGGCGGTGGCGTATATCAGCCGTATGGGGGGTATGCGCTCTCGCCGCATGTCTCAGCTCGCCCGCCGTCTGCTCCTCTGGAGTCATCCGCGGCTGAAATCGCTGCACGCCATTCATATTCAGGCAAGCTCAACCGTGCAGCCGATGCGCTCTCACGGCAGCCTTACGTCCAGGAGAATGGAGACTCCACCCCGAGTCTGTTCAGCTGATATGGGCGTGATTCGGGGAAGCCCAGATCGATCTGTTGCTTCCCCCGAGATTGCTCATTGCCAGTTGTTCTTTCCCGGCACGGATGCTCTCGGCACGGATGCACTGGCTTACAGCTGGCCTCGGGGCATGCGCAAATACGCGTTTCCCCCAGTGAGCCTGCTCGCGCAGTTACTGTGCAAGGTCAGGGAGGACGAGGAACAGGTTGCTGGTTGCACCCCTCTGGCTCAACCGGACCTGGATGTCAGAGCTCTCCCTCGCGATAGCCCTCCCCTGGCAGTCCCTTCGAGAGAGCACCTACTCTCTCAGGGACAGGGCACCACCTGGCACCCTCGCCGATCTTTGGAGGTTTTTAGACGCGAGGAAGACTTAGGTAACCTCCGATTGCGGTGGCTAATACCGTCACACGGGCTAGAGCCCCCTCCCCGAGCGCGCCTATGCCCTGAAG